AAAAAAAAAAAAAAAAAAAAAAAAAAAAAAAGGAGCGCACAACTCGGGGGCGTAAATGTAGCACACCCGTGTGTACTCATGGGTGCTCTGTGCTGGTCGGAATACAGGGGAGGACCCACCCAAGTGTGAAACTCTTTTTGTGTCATGCCGAGGGGAAAATGAGCAATTCGGGGTAGGGCAATAATAAATGCAGTAAAGTAAATTGCCACAAGCCCCACATGGCGCATTCCCCCCGCTGAGTGCGCAAAAATAGGCAGGCTTTAAAACTGACACAAATTGAAAAAAAAAAAAAAAAAAAAAAAAAAAAAAAAAAAAAAAAAAAAAAAAAAAAAAAAACAATTAACCGCTAATTTTTTTTTCTGTTCTTTTTTCTTTTTCCCATTTTGGGACGGTCCCACTTGATACAGTTGGAGTACCTTTTTTCGAGTTGCTCTGTCGGCATATCTACAAACAGGGAGTCGTCAAACTTGAGGCGATTTATCCTTGTTCCGTGCCGTTGCCTTGTGTAGCGCAAGTGTAGGGGTGTAACGTTGGCCCCAACACATACGAAAAAGAGCCTCCCTTCACTGCTCCGCAAAAAGAAACCATGGCTGGCACAGACGGACACGTGCAGGCCCTGGGAAAGGCAGAAATCGATGAGCTCATTGGCAACTCGCTCAAGTCAGGGGACACAGGAGAGCACCCGTATTTTTTGCAGCAGAATAATATATATTGGGAAACGGGCCACCGCACGTACATTCCTTTTTTTCATTTCCTGATTCACAAGTACACGAACAAGATAGTGGACGACCAGGTAGGCCCGCGCTACACCACCGCAACCGTCACTGCAACGTCACCGCCGCCATACAACCGCCATACAACCGCCATACAACCGCTACAACCGTCACCGCCTGCACGTGTTTCTGTTGCCCCTTTTGCGCAGCTCCGGAAGTTCACCAACAGCATGCAGAGTGTGCACCACACCCCCTTCGTATTTCACAAGGATGGTTACTTTAGAAATTACTACGGAGACCCTGACGTGAACATGGTGTTCCACTTAAAGAAGAACCCGAATTTTATTTTTAACTCCACGGGGACCTTGAACTCGTACAACCTGCTCGAGAAGAATTGCTCCTACGACAAGCCCACACACATTTTCAACCAAGTGGTTATGAGTGCATATAAAATGGATTTGAAGAACGTCCTCGAGGGCATTGTGCAGTGATAGGGCGTTGAAGCGCCGTAAAAGGGAGAGAGAGCGCTTGTAGGGGGTGGGAGGGCACGTGCCCCGTCCCCATTTACAAACATCATTTCTTTTACCAACATCAATTCGATTGCGATTATCAATGCAGTTTCGAACACGAATTAAGTTGTTGCTCCATTTAGAACCGGGCGTGCCTCTTCCCTCCCTTTTCCTGTCCGTACACACCCAAATGTGGGCATAGCGCACTAATACACGCAGTAGGGGAATTTTTTTTTTTTTTCTCTCTTTCACCCCTTTGCGTTAACAACCAACTGGCCCCCTTCTCACCGAATTGCGTTTCTTTATTATATTGGCATGGGTCCCCCCCCCCCCTGCATGTTTTTTTTTTTTTTTGCTTAAAGTGAGCTCCGCAGCTCAGGGGTGTAAAAGGTGGGGGGCACACACACACTGGCTGCTTATCTGACGGGCGCCTTTTTTGCTCATGTGTGTGGGCCATTCGATATGGCAAGTGTCACTGCAAGCGTGTTACACCTACGTGGGGTGGTCGGGTAGGCCGAGTAGGGTGTGCGGTGCCTGAGGGGGCAACTCCCCCCCCCCCCCACGCAGATTGGTACTAAAGGATTGGTGAACTCTGTTTGGCTTTTCTGTTCTTCTCCTGTTTTGCTACGCGTTTCCCCTGCTTCCTATTTTTTTTTTTCTCCCACGCAAGGTGCCTTAATGGAGGTATATGGTCATCTCCATTGTGAGGAGGAATTTTTTTTTTTTTTTTAAGCACCCCGCGCGGCAAGCTAAATTTGCACTTGGGGCAGGAAAAAAACGAGCACGGGAAAAATGCGCCGCTCGGGGGTAAGCTAACCAAGCAACCAACGAAACAATACGCGAATGAATAAATGAACGAGGGAATAAGAGAATCAACGAATAAGCGAGCGAAAGCCACCCTGACCATCATCTAACGAGTACAGTCGCGTAAAACTAACCGAAGGTACTGCGAGTAAGGGAGCAGTGTGACTAAGCGCAAACGAACAAGCCGCCCTGCCCATACGTACGCACACATACGTACAAGCACACGCACGACACGAACACACACACACACACGCTGGTATAAGTTTGCCCCCACGCCGAGCGAAGATGCGATACTACAACCTAGTGAGCAGAATAAGTTTAGGCAAAAATTTTAGAGCGAACCTGCAGGGGAAGAGAACCTTTAGCGGAGGGGTGAGCGGAGAAAAGGGAAAATACGCAAAGGAGGGAGGAAAGGGAAAGTATATCGTATGCACGGCAGTGACATCGGTAGCACTCTCCTTTGGACTGACATATGCATACGAAAATTATATTCTGTACAAATGGAATAACAAATATGATTATTCATACAATCCTTATGTGAACGATATAGAAAATAAATTAAAAGAAAAAAAACAAGGAAAACGAGAAAAAAAACATGTAGCAAAAAATATAATACTTGTAAGACATGGACAGTACATACGAAAAAACGCCACAGATGAAAATTCAAAAAAATTAACAAAAGAAGGATGTAAACAAGCAGATATGACTGGAAAAAAATTAAAAGACATTTTAAAAGACAAAAAAATTAGCGTGATATATCACTCAGATTTAATTCGAGCTAAAGAAACTGCAGAAATTATTAGCAAATATTTTCCAAATGCTAAATTAATTAATGACCCCAATTTAAATGAAGGCACTCCTTTTTTACCTGACCCTATTCCTAAAAGCTCTAAATTTGATAATAATAAAATTCAGGTCGACAATAAAAGAATTAATAAAGCATACGAGACTTACTTTTATCGACCCCCTGGGGAGGAAGATGAGTACCAGTTGGTCATATGTCATGGTAATGTTATTCGTTACTTTTTGTGCAGGGCCTTGCAACTGCCTCTGTTTGCTTGGCTGCGTTTCTCCAGCTACAATTGCGGAATTACGTGGCTCGTGTTGGACGACGAGGGCTCCGTCGTCCTGCGAGAGTTCGGCTCCGTCTCGCACCTCCCCTTCGACAGCGTCACCTACTTCTGAGGGGGGACAAGAAGCGGCGTGCGTGTGAGCGGTGTCATGCTCGTGAGCGGTGTCATGCTCGTGAGCGGTGTCATGCTCGTGAGCGGTGTCGTGCTCGTGAGCGGTGTCGTGCTCGTGAGCGGTGTCATGCTCGTGAGCGGTGTCGTGCTCGTGAGCGGTGTCGTGCTCGTGAGCGGTGTCATGCTCGTGAGCGGT